TTCAGCAAAGTCCCATGTGACCAGGCACCCCGATCCCAGCACAACCCCCCAGTGCAGCAGCTTCCCCACTGGACTGGTTTAGGGCCCTGCTCACAAGGCGGCCCCCTTCCCTGCTGCTTTTGGCAATTTGGCTCTCAAGAGGGGGGAAGGACGGAGCTGCCGATTTCCACAGCAGCAGCTGAATCACCCCAAGCAAAATCCTCAGCTCTGCCGAACGCTTCCCAGCAGATCTGCTCAGTCACGGGGGATGCGCTGACCCACGGGAGGGTACAGACCAAAACAAGGAAGCCGTGCTGCCGGGTTAAGGGCCCGAGGCTTCCGCTGCCAACCCACAGCAAAACAGACCCCTGCGTGCGTCGGCGCCCCTGACATTTACACGAGCGAGGAGGTCTGCATCAGAGCCCGGGCAGCGCAGGCGTGTGCAGCAGGGCGCACAGGACACAGCCCCGTTGTGTCCCCTCCCAGATCACATGCAGGCTAAGCAGAGTGATCAGAGTAATCGAAGCTGGCAGCCAGGCCGGAGCCGATAAGTGGGCCCCCAGGGGCAGGCAATCAGACTGGGACGTGCTGTTCCAGGCAGCACAGTCGGAGGAAGAGCTGCACGTAGGGGACACGCCAGATGCCTCCGCAGCTCCAGCAGGTAACAAGACACAATGTCAAAGGCCAGTCCCTGCAGCCATCCTAATCCAGGCACTTAGCATGACTCCGCTGGCCTTCCTGTAAGACGGCTCCAGGCTAGCGGCAGGGAGAGGGACGGCTTCTCCGCAGCGCTTCTACCAGCCACATGTCAATTCCACCCCCTCCTTTCCTGGGTACGTGCACCCCAGCCACAAGCACACAGGCAGCGCCCGACATGCACCTCGAGCCGATGCCCCATCCCACTCGCCAACTGTCATCCCCCGACTCAGTTGTCATCTCACTTCACGGTCCACTGGCTGCTCGGTATGGAAGGAACAGAGCAGAGGGACGCATGCATGAGGGCACGCACCCCCCGAGGCCACGCAGCACGGAAAAAGGCCTGGTGCTGAGCACCCGAGCAGCCCAGCCTGCGAGTGCGAGGACAGGGAAAAAAATAGGTCTCGTTAATTTCAGTCCCTTCAAGAGGGAGGGGAACGTGCAGAACCTAATATCCCTCGCTGTAACTACTGTCCTTTTCGTCGGAGGATCTACAAGCGCTGAGAAGCACAAGTGAATTTAGCCTCAGCCTCTCATCCCCACTGGTGAGGTTAGGAACGGTCCCATTCTAGAGAGCCACAAAACTGAGGCAGGGAGAAGAAAAGGGACTTGCCCCTAACACAGTGGCAGAAGCAGGAGGAAGAGTAGGATCCTGGCCCCCTGAATCCCAGTCCCTGGCTGTAGTTCATCTAAGAGCACCACGTGGAGGGGAAATCTACATTTGCCAGATGCGGGAGGGAGGAGAATTTAAGCTTTGAAAAAGGGCAAAGCAGAGAAAAGTCACGCCTGGGAAAGTTACTCAGCAGTGTGCTCTGGAGGAGGGGGCAGCTTCATTATTTCCCATGCTCCCCCAGCATGCACCTCTGCCCATAGCAACCCCCTTCATGCCTGGCTCCTTCCACCCCCCATCCCAGCATGCACCTCTGCCCATAGCAACCCCCTTCATGCCTGGCTCCTTCCACCCCCCCCCATCCCAGCATGCCCCTTCCACCCCCCCCATCCCAGCATGCCCCTTCCACCCCCCCCATCCCAGCATGCCCCTTCCACCCCCCCCATCCCAGCATGCCCCTTCCACCCCCCCCATCCCAGCATGCCCCTTCCACCCCCCCCATCCCAGCATGCCCCTTCCACCCCCCCCATCCCAGCATGCCCCTCTGCCCATAGCAACCACCTTCATGCATGGCTTCTTCCACCCCCGCCCCCATCCCAGCATGACCCTCTACCCATAGCAACCCCCGCAGCGCCTGGCTCCTACCACCCACCCCCACCAGGCCTGGCTCACTCACCCCCCGCTGAAGATCTTCTCCACATACTGCCTCATGAACTCCCGGCGCTCCACCATCACCTCGTCCTTGGCGGACTCGGTGCTCTGGTTGGACGAGAAGGACTCGTTGGACGAGGAGCGGCGGTAGTTGTTCCAGCTGTGATGACTCGGCGAATCCCCCATGTCGTTCTCGCTGTCGGCCGACTCCGTGGTGTCGCTCTCCTCCCCCACAGACGCCGGGTCCCCCAGATGCTCCAGCAACCCATTGCCGCTGGAGGGCGGAGGGGGCGAGGGAGCGGGCTCCGCGGGGACAGAGGCTGGGGGCTCAGAATCAAAGTCAATGAGGTTCCCCACCGGCACGTGGGTGGCCTCCATGGCTCTTGGAGTGGGCGGGTAGCAGGTTGGGAGGCCGCTTGGGCTGGGCTCGATTTCCCTTTCGCCCGTCAGTGAGATTTCGAGGCCATCCGCAGCTCAGCGTGGCAGAGGCGCTCCTAGGATAAGCTGGCTAGAGCTGGCAGGTCCCTGCGAGGCTCCAGACGCTCAGAAGGCATCTGAAAGACAAGACACAACCACCACTGAAAGCGCAGCCTGGGGAACTGGTGGCGTCAGGCCAGAGCAGCAGCGGGCCCAGAACTTCCCAGGCCCCTTTATCCTTCCAGCGACAGACCCTTATTCAGCCGATTCCCACTCCTCCACCAGCTGTGGTTACTATACTAGCAGGACAGGGAGACAGCAACTGGCCAGTGCCGGCTTTGCAGCCTTACCAACCCACCCACCTAGCGGGCAGTTGCAGCTTTTCCCCTAATTCGCCCATTTGGCCTGGTAATTTAATTAGCTCAGGCTTTTTGCTGAGTGGCTATACAGTAATTCCTCATTTAACACGTTTTCGCGATAGCACGATTTTTTTTGGAGGGGGGCGCGTTTTTCAAACAACACGATTTCCCCCAGCCAGCCCTTCACCGACAGCTGTGTGGGGCTTCCCCCTTCTTCTCCGCCCCAGCTTGTAGGCCGGCAGCTGGGTTTCCCCAGTTGGCCTGTTGCCCGCGCTTCCCAGCAAAGTGGCGGCAGGTTCACCGCTCGCCGCATCGTTCCCCGGTTCCCCTCGCCGGACGCCTTGCGCCCTCTCCTCCGCCCCCGCTTGCAGGCCGGCGTCTGGGTTTCCTCTTGCAACAGACACCACCGCTTGAAACGCAACCCCCACCTTTTCCATTATTTTCAATGGGAAAATGGACCCTGCAGAACACGTTTTCACTTAACACGATCGTTTTCTGCAACATATCCATAGTGTTAAGTGAGGAATTACCGTACTCAGCGTTACATGGTTTTCTTCCTCCTGGTTCACTTCCCCTTGTAAAAGGAGCACCTGGGGGTTGCCCCAGCGGGATGGGAACTGCCCTTTTGTGGGGGAAGACAGACAACAGAAGCCACATGCCACATCTGGAAAGTGCGCTCCCCGGCTTGACATACAGAATTGGTTTTTGCGGTGGCGTTGCACCTTGTTGAAGAACCATGGTGGGTGAGACCATCTCTTTAGCTGAACCAGCCTCAGTTGGTGACAGAGAAAGTGTCCAGTTCCACAGAGAGCTGGGAAAGGTACTGGGAGGGTCAAAGCAAGGAGCAGCAGACTGGGACACATCGGGGTTAACAGGTGGCCAGCCACCCTTCAAAACGAAATGGGCAATTAACCCTTCTGCAGTCACCGGCTCGCTCTCAGTTCTCACTCACCAAGAGAAACCTGCACCACGCCTCCGAAAGATGCAGCTGGGAGCTCAGTTTCGTGACTCTGCTTGGCACCCAAAATTAGGGACTCGCAGCAGACAGACTGGCTACGTCTACACTGGCACAATCTCACTCAAAAACTCTTTTGCGGGAGAGTTTTCTTGTGCAAAAATTCTTCCAGAAGAGAGCATCTACACTGGCATGTGCTTTCTGCAAGAGATGTGCTTTTGCGCAAGAGCATCCATGCCAGTGGAGACGTTCTCTTGCGCAAGAAAGCTCTGATGGCCATTTTAACCATAGGGCTTTCTTGCACAAGAAATTCATATTGCCTGTCTACACTGGCGTCTTGTGCAAGAACAGTTGCACAAAAGGGCTTATTCCTGAGCGGGAGCGTCAGAGTTCTGGCTTAAGAAGCCCTGATTTCATACATTAGAATGTCAGTTTACTTGCGCAAGAACTCGCGGCCAGTGTAGACACAGCCACTGGCTTTACGTCTCCATCTGTCTCCCACTAGCTCTTCTTTGTCCAACGCCTGCAGAAACGTTAACTGCCCACTTCACGCGCAGCATTCCAAAGCACCTCGGACAATCGGCTGAGGAGCCATGTTGCCCACCACAGACATGCAGCCACCTCTGGGCTGCAATGCAGCAGCTGCTTAATTGTGCACAGCCACTGGCTAGGACAGGAAGGAAAGGAGAGCACCATACTGAGCTGAAAGTTGGGAGATTCAAAGTCCAACAGCAACTGGAGTGGAATCTGAGACACCAATGTTCATAGTCGTCATCTTGCAAAAAGGCCACGAGACTGTCAATGCACCAGAGGGGTCAGAAAGCAATTTTAACTTCCATTAACAGGACCCCGTCCCACACATGGGACGCGCTTGCCCGCACAACCCCACCAGCAAGCGGGTGCCGCATGGGACGCAGCAGAGCTTGCTTGCTGGCCAAAGGCTGCCTTGCAGAAAGAGCATCCAAATCAGAGAAAGCAGCAGCCCTGTTCTCAGGGAGCTAGCTGGACCCAAAGGGGAGCCACTGACAGCTGAGAATGCATTCTGACAAGCAAACCATGTCAGAGCAGAATAGCTGCAGCAGCGAGACAGGCCCCGCAACCCAGATCCACCAGGAGCACGTACGCACCCACCCAACTGGGGACACAGCAGGTCCACCCCCCCACTGCCACGTGCAGAACTAGAAAAGGGGATTGCCATGGAAATGCCTACATACTGGTCCTCAATCCACCCCCTCCCGCCGCAGAGCCCCCAAACCCTGAGTAGTAAAAACATTTATTTCTTAAAACGTTGTTACTAATCCTGTGTGTGATGGTAGCATCTTAGGAGCAACCAAGAATAGGTCCCCATTGCGCATGGTGCCGTACAGACACATAATCCCTGCCCCTAATATCTTATCGCTGAAAGAGACAAGAGAGATGCAGCTACAGGTCTGGGATGTAACACACAAGCAGAGCGATCGTGATGACAAAAGACAGGTCGGCACCACAACTGTTTCCCTTCTTTGGGTGGGACTTAGGGAAGACAGGAGTTTTTACACTGTTTTAACCCTTGCCTTACCCCACTGCTCTGTTTATCTTGTTGCATCAATCTCATTTAGATTAGCAAATCCAGATTTGGACTGCGCTGGTTGAACGAGCTGGTACTTTCCGTAGGAAGAGGAGTTTTGTCTGCCTGGGTCTCAGCTTTCATTATATACATGCCCATGAGTGCTTCTGACAAAGATAACTAGAGGGTTTGGCCACACAATACCCCACCTAAGTCTCTTAAGAGACACAGGGAACGCGATGCTCTCAGACGCGTCGCTGCATTGAGGATCAAACCTGGAGTCTCAGGATAGAAACTCATGAGCTTCTGCCATTGCTGAAAAGCCAGCTTGCTCAGCTCCATGGTTGGAGCGGACGTGACCAGCTGGCTGCCTTATTTCAAGGTAAGTCTGTACAGCAGCTGGCAGCACGCTGCAGAGCACAGGTAGACAGAACAATTTGCTGGTCCTGCTTGGGTCGGTTCCCTGAAACCAGCGGTGTGGCCCACGTAGCACGAGCAGCCATCCCACCCCACCCTTAGCATATGTCCTCCAGTGGCTAGCCTGAGCCCCCCCAGCCACGCTGCTGTTTCTAGCGTGCTGGGTTGAGCAGCACTAGCATGTCTGTTTTCCCGGGCCTAGAAGCTGCTTCCTGATGGCTGAGCAGAGGAGCCCTCCTGATGGGGTCTCACCAGGCACTGTGTCTTGTCGGCTCTAGCTCAAATCCACCAGAAATCTATTAGCTGCCATTTAAAAGCCAACATGCAACCGCAGGAGAGACAAAGTGGATAAGGGAACATCTCTCATTGGACTCGCTTTTGCGGCTGAAAGAGCCCAGACTCGAAGAAGAGCGCCATAGGTTTTTAGAACCGACTATGGGCCATTCTTGACTATCTGAACAACAAAAATGATGAAAGGTCGAGGGAACATGACTTATGAGGGGAGACTGAAAGAACTGGGCTTGTTAAGTTTGGAAAAGAGAAGACTCAGAGGACGTGACAGCAGTTTTCAGGTATCTAAAAGGGTGTCAAGGAGGAGGGGAGAACATTGCTCTCTGAGGATAGGACAAGAAGCAATGGGCTTAAATTGCAGCAAGGGAGGTTTAGGTTGGACGTTAGGAAAAACTTCCTGTTAGGTGGTGAAACACTGGAATAAATTGCCTACGGAGGTTGTGGAATCTCCACCACTGGAGACATTTAAGAGCAGGTTAGACAGATACCTGTCAGGGATGATGTAGACAGCGTTTGGTCCTGCCATGAGGGCAGAGGACCGGACTTGATGACCTCTCAAGGTCCTTTGCAGTTCTCGGGTTCTACGATTCTGGAACAGACATGGCTGCAGCAATGCTGCAAACAATGTGCAACGATCCCATAGTTAAACAAAGCGCAGAAGAAAAGAGGAGGAGGAGCATATTATAGGGACAGGCATGATCTACTGCAAGTGGCATCACGAACGGGCAGAATTGAGGGGAGCACATCCACTCCCTTTCCCCCACACTGCAAATCACTGGAGCTGGAGCAGACTCTTAACTGGCTCTAAAGTCAGGTGTGTCACAAAATGCAACAAGCAGGATTAGCACCTGCGATAAGTTTGCAACCGGTGCGAGACCTCTTGCGAAATGCCTCTCTGATATGGCGTCCATGACACTTCATAAACTTGAAGACGTTTACCCTCCCACACCTCTGCGAGGCACGGCAGAGCTATCATCCCCCTAGCACAGGTGGCAACTAGGTCCAGAAATGCTAAGTGACTTGCCCAAGGTCAAACAAGGTGTCTGTGGCACAGCAGGGAAATGGCCCCACCGGACTGTCCTCCTTCAATATAAAAATATAAAACTTGCTGCTCAATTCGTCAGGACTCTCACAGAACTTCCCAGGCTGTGTGTGCAGGGAGCAGCTAGCTCTGGTGACCAGACGCCGTGACCGGCACTAGGGTTAGTTGATTAAACTAAATTGAACAAAAGTCGATTAGTCGATAAGCAGGGGGAGCCGCAGCCAAGTTAGCTCCCGCGCCTGGGAGCTAACCCCACTGTGGCTCAGCCTTTTAAATGTATTAAGAGCAGCCAGGCTCTTAATACATATAAAAGGCTGAAGCGCAGCGGGGGGG